GCCCGCCCACCCCGCTGACTTTGTTTATTGGAAGCCACCTGGGAAAGTCACAAATGCTGATCATATGGGGATGCTGCAATGGTCCCTAAATGTGACAACGAAGGCACTTTTTTTTTTCAGTCCCATAACTTTGAAATGGTCACAAAAAATATGGTTGTAAGTCGAGGACTACCTGTATTATAGGAAAGGGATCTCCAATCTTGGCAACTCTAAGACTCGTGCACTTCAACTCCCAGAGTTCCACAGCTAGCTTTGCTGGCTGAGGAATTCTGGGAGTTGAAGTCCATGAGTCTTAAAGTTGCCAAGGTTGGAGACCCCTGATGTAGGGTATACCCCATTGCCATTGCTTTAAAAAATATCTTTTTTAAGATCCAGAAAATCCAGGTATATAGCTCTGTGTAGTTCCACAGAGTGAAAAAAATGATAAATCTCGTAATCTGGAAGCCCACTTCTGCTAAAGCCAACCACAGATCTTCATCTCAGAAAATTCTGTGTAACTGGAACAAAATAAATTGCCAATTACAGTTACAAAACAAACCTGGAACCCAGCTAATTTCACAATGTACCAGGGCTTAACCTCACTAGGTCCTAAATGGCATTTCTAAATAATACTTTCAGTAGAAATACCTTGCTGTTCAAAAATCAGCTGACCTGGGTAATTTTAATATGAAAAGTAAAAACAAGTTCTGCAGTTAACATTCTTATCTTGACACAAACGCAGAAAGACGGGGAGGGGGGGAAAGGGGGGGAATAAGGCCGCCCGGAGGTACATAAAGGCCCCATTGTAGCAGCCCACTGAATTGGAAATGACTGGTAAGCCTAATGAAACAAAACTTTTGGCAGGAAAACAGAATGAAAGAATGAGACAATAAAAAGGCAGGAACAAAGGCAGCTGAGTTGTTTCAGCTTAAGAAAATAAGCTCACTTTGTTGTTGGGAAAAGCCAAAGCCGGATTAGGATAAACCAGTGACTAAGCAGAAGTCTTCACATCTAATTACACCACTCATCGTACATATATAAAGTCTACATTCTGAGTCTCCAGAAACTCCAAGTCCGAGTTACTTTCAGCAGAGTTTTGGAAAAGCAAGCAGGGCATTTAAAGACATTGGAGATACTACTTCCCGTTTTATTTAAAAAAAGGATCTGTATTTTACCTATATTGCACGTAACTCCATTATATTTCACAAGAGGAATGCTGCAAAAATCTAAGTACTCCTGGAGATTCCCAAATTCGTTGCAAAAGGACCTCTACACACACACACACACACACACACACACACACACACACACACACAACCTCTAGACCAGAGCAGTGAAAACTCATGTCCTTTGTTTGGGCAGGGAATACTGCTTAAGAGCCCTGAATGGCAGAGACCATAATACACCAAATGTTGACTTTCTTGGGCTTCAACTAAGAAACTATGGATTGAATCCCTAAGGAAATTCCAGAGAGCAGGCAGGTGCCTCTCTTTTTTTTTTTTTTCCTTAGATTCAAATCTAGCAATGATGAGTGTGCCCCCTCACACGCAGTTTAATAACCCGCCTTTTAATAAGACACAATTAATTTCCTGACAATGAGAACAATTAATCAGTGGAACGGCTTGCCTTCAGGAGCAGTGGGTGCTCGCTCCAACAATGGAGATTTCTAAGAAGAGATCAGACAAATATTTCTCCTGAATGGTATAGGACCATGATGGCGAACCTGTGCCATGCAGAGCCATCTCTGCGGGCATGCGAGCCGTCGGCCAGCTCAGTTCCACTGCGTATGCACGCGCGCCTCCCGCCAGATTTTCCGGTATCTGCTGTGCATGTGGGGGGGGGGGGGCAGGGCACATGCGGGAGATGCGTGCACATGTGCAGGGAGGTGAGGAAGAGCGGTGGGGTCATGCGTGCATTGCATTATAGGTGCAGGCATGTATGTGTATGCTCGCTCAAGTGCGCGCATGCGCACCTTTGACACGCAACAAAAAAAAAAGATCACTGGTATAGGATCTCCTGCTGGGACAGAGGATTGGACTAGGGCCCTTTCCATCTCTGTTATTCTGTTAAGGTTATATTAAATGCTTTATGATTGTGTGAAAAAGTAACCAGTCAACGAAGGGAGAACTTTCTGTCAGGCTCTATAACTTTTAACTACTCAGCCTGTAAAAATTGCAGGTGGCACAAATCAACTTACAATTTCTCTGGGGGAGAGAAATGTTACTACAGCACAAGCAGGCATCATCTAAAGACAACATTTCCCTGGGATCAATATCTTTATTCATGTGTGCATCTAAACTTAATCAGATGCACGTCCACACCAAAGAAAGCCACATTAATATCAGTGGGACTTACTCCCAGGTGCGTACATTGTTCCGCGGTATAAATCATGACAGTCAGCAATTTATGAACGAAGGTTGGAACACTTGGATGGCAGCCATCATTTAGATTTTTATTTATTTTATTAAATTTATATTACCTTTGAGAGCTGCATGAAAATTTGAGATGAAGCTGAGCCCGTTCATTTGGGTTTTCTTGGCTTTGGGGTATCGATTTTTTAAAAAAGGAATAATTGGATTTTTCAAGAAAAGGAGCCTTCGAACATTGAGGAAGAAAGAGAAAAATCAAGAGGGCACCAAACTATCTTTATTGACTCAGCATGAAGCCACCAGATGGCAAAACAAAACTGATTCCTCAAGGGTGCATGCGAGAAGCAGAGAAACATGCATGCATCAGAACTGTTATTAACTTCAAAACTAGACGGAGGAGTTTGGCAGATTTGACAATAACTAAGGAAGAAACATTCAAAACCCTGACACAATCCTTTAATAAAGGGCTCAGCAGGCTGTAAACATCACCCTGTCGGAATCGGAATTATCATCGGGAAAAAAATAAAATAAAATCAACGGTTGGCAAAACAACTATCAATCTAACACAATAACTATTAAAAAGTTTCCCCACCACAAATAAAAAGGTAGGTTCAAAACAAGGCTTTCAGAAACTTACGTCCAAATAGGCAAGCTTCTTTGGTAAAATACCACGGAAATGGGTGATCGACACAAAACTGCAGACTGGAAAGTCTAAGGCAGGACTGATGGCACTTCCGTGTAAACAGGTACTGACCAACTCATAACTGACAAAACTTTAGTGCAGGTAGTCCTTGACTTACAACTTTCTTTTCCGGAACCATTCAAAGTTACAACACTGAAAAAAGTGACTTGTGTGGTTTTATATATATATATATATATATATATATATATATATGACCTATACCATTCACTTAGTTGTTACAGCCCATGATCATGGACACAGGACCAAAATTTGGGTGCTTGATAACCAGCATGTATTTAAATGTTGCAGTGTCCTAGGGTCATGGGATCACCATTTGTGACTTCCTAGCTGGCTTCCAACAGGCAAAGTCAATGGGGAAAGCTGGATTTGCTTAAGAACCGTGGCCAAAAAAAGATCATAAACTCAAGTGAAACTCACTTATCCCACCTAGTTTGGCAACAGAAATTTTGGTTCCAATTATGGTTGTAAGTCTAGGACTACCTGTAAGTTAATATTCCTAGAATGAAGTGGTCCTTAGTCATGTTGATATTCCTCCCTTCCTTTTGGGGGAGCGGGGGAGGTACTTGAAATCAAGGGTGGTTCAACACCATTCATCCAAAATGATACCACCGTACCATTCCAATGATATGGAGCAAAATATTGCAACAAATTTCCTGCACAAGCCCCAATGCACTTAACATGAGCCATGCCAAAACCATGATGAAATATAAAAAATACAATTTCTTTGCAGAAATCTATCCTGCTGTCAAATATAGAAAAAGGAGTAGAACTAGCAGACAGGAGGAGGGACTCAGTTACAGAAACAATGCGGGTGCATCTATGGAAAACCTGAAGGGCCAAATTGGGAGAGATATCATGTAGACCAGCGTTCTTCAAACTTGGCAACTTTTAAGATGTGTGGACTTCAACTCCTAGGATTCCCAGCCAGATTTTCTTGAGAGTTGAAGTCTACAGATCTTAAAGTTACCGACTGAGAAAAAAACAGCTATCGATGTGGTCTCCAACTTTTGGCACACAGACAATTGTTCTTCTGTTACATTGGCAGAGAGGATCTTTGGCAAAAGACAGCAGCCTTGAGATCCATCACCTCTGACAAACATGGAGAAGGACTCCAACCCAAGTGGACAAAAGCTGGAGAAATGCCAGTTGACTGGCCTCTTATTGTTATGGGTTTTGTTAGAACTGTTCGAAAGGGACAGGGCATCAAGATATCATTATACTGTTTTATCAGCAGCTGTTGCACGCCTTAAAAATAAAAGAAGAAAAAGGTTGCAGCATAACCTATGCAGCCTTATCAGTTGAACCTGAGGTTTGTTGGATAAGATCCCAAAAAAGAAGAAATATTAGATTTCTCTGAGGAACAGCTTCTCCAATGGAGCTAGTGAAACAATAGGATGCTAGGAGATACGTATGCCTGTCCATCTGTCTGACATGCAGTGCAATATCTATCTCTTGAAAGAAACACCACAGAAGGAAATTCAATTCTATATACAGAATACCAAAACCAAGCATACCCTAAGTGTAATTTGCAGCCATCGACCATGCCGGTGATGTACTTAAGTCACTAACTTCACAAGGATAAAAGCTAGAAAAGTTCAACAGGTAGAGACGTTTGGTATTTGCAGAGGGCAGAGTTGTGTGCTAAGTTTCAGACGGTCGGAGTCAAGACTGAGAAACAGGCAGCAAAGCACCAGTTTAATGCAGGGCGTGCATATATACACATCTCTATGGGCAAATGCCCACTTTACCACTAAGGCCGCTGACATAAGAATCTTAAATCAGGAGAAATGATCACATTGGTATTCTTAATGTGGGCACATCTTAACCCACAGACATTCACAGAGATACACAAATTAATTCTGAGAGAACAAGCTGCAGAGGAGTCGAGGTCATAAAAAGTCATTAAAAAAAAAAAGAAGAGTGCTGTGTTCAACCACATCAGACCTTACCTTGCCAAACTGTTCAAAGTACTGCTTTACGTCTTCCACTACCGTGTTAGCCGATAATCCACCTACAAATATTTTCTTTGTTCTTGTGACCATCTGTAAAAAAAAGTTTAAAAAGAGGGGAAAAGAGTATTATTCCAGATTATCCCAGCACAAGGTCTGCCACAGGTATATTTTTCCAAGGCTATGCTTAATCCCATTAACAACAATTCATCTCCTCTGCTGAAAAGGAATATATAGGACAGGAATGGGCAACTATGGACCCATTATGACCTGTGGGCTTCAATTCCCAAAATTCCTAAGCCAGCCGGCGTAGCTAGCTCAGGAATTCTGAGTGCTAAAGACCACAGGTCCTAACGGTGCCCGTTGCCCTCCTTTGATTTAGGACGTTCAATTCAATTCAAAGAGATGCTACTTGGTTAACAGTCTTTGATGGTAAGATTTGGGCATTCCAATCCCGTTGCCCATTTCCTTTTAATACAGGTTTTCATTCTGAAGCAGTTTCGTTGGCATGCCTCCCAGACCCCAGTTCAACATGGCTTGTAGCGTGACCACAAGCAAGTTCAAACTAAGTCTCCCGTGATGGTCAGGATGATATGCGACAAGTAACATTTCTGGACTTCAGATACCTGGAACTAAACAAAATGCATTTTAATGCACTTAGATCCTCTTAGAGCCAATCCTGTGTGGATAGGGTCAAGTTGGGAAGACCCCATTCATAACCCAAACGTATCCAATCATTTTAACTTGAAGGTGAGGAAAAACCCTTCAGAAGCTGCCCCATCATAACACTAGGCAACTGTAAATGTAGAAAACATATGAGAACGGACTTCTATCTCCAGAGATGGGTTGTGACAATTCTTTGTTGTTGTATTTACTGACATCCACAGAAGCTCGTGATGTAATTACACCATGCACCTCAGGCAATCGTAAGCCATATTTGTTCCCCCTCATCATCTTATGCTAATGAAGTACATTTGAATCTGGCTTGCAGTTTCTTGATTAAACAGGGATCCGCACCCCAGTCCCCAATCCATGTTTGATACACTAGCTATTGCATCTTTGGCAAAAGGTTGGTCAACTCTGTGCAAAATGGGGACAAAAAGTTGCATTACTACGCTCTCACAGGTTCTTTTCAGGACATCCAGCTCAATGGGCTCCAAAACCCCACGGATCTCTAGGCAACGAACACACAACCAGAATACAGAATGCAGAACAACGTAATGGTTGGAAGGGACCTTGGAGATCTTCTAGTCCAACCTCCTGCTCAAGCCTGAGACCCTATACCATTCCAGATAAATGTCTATCTAATCTCTTCTGATAAACCTTCAGTGATGGAGCACCCACAACTTTGGAAGCAAGCCATCCTGCTGGATTAATTGTTCTTACTCTCAGAAATTTCTCCTTAGTTCTAGTTTGGGTTTTTTTCTTTGATAGGTTTCCACCCACTGCTTCTTGTCCTGCCCTCAGGTGCTTCGGAGAATAGTTTGACTCCCTCTTCTTTGGGGCAGCCTCTTAGATACTGGAAGACTGCTATCATATCACGCACACACACCCCTAATCTTTCTTTCCATTAAACTAGACGTAAGCACACCAAGAGTAGTACTCACTGCTCACTACTCCAGTCTCCCCCAGTTTTACTACAGCTCCTGCTGCTGCTGCTGCTCCACTACTGCTACTTGTGAGTTGTACTGTGAGAGAACAGTATCTCTTTCTGTTGGCCTGGGCAACTTTTAAGATTGGTGGACTTCAACACTGTGGCTGAGGAATTCTGGGAGTTGAATTCCACAAGTCTTAAGATTGCCAAGTTGGAGATTTCTGCCTTAGGGTGCTTCAGGCTTTATTTTCATAAGCCACCTGCCCTCACACTCCATCGCCACTACACCCAGCTGCCTTTCTGCTCAGCCTTTATAGCCACCAGTTGCTCTGCTGGTGAGGGAGAGGTCTTAAAGGGACAGGGCAACAGCAGCCTGGGTGCTGACTATTTTGCAGGCAGCCTTCCCCCTCTCATATGTATACCACGACCCTACTCTAGCCTTTGCTCTCCAAGTGAACTCTACTACAATTTCAGATAAATTCAAGGCCTATGAGATTTGCAGATGAATGCACCTGGTTTATGTGCAACGGTGGGACTAAATTATAGTATGCGCTTTCAGATCGCAAGAAGGATATAGGGGATGATCAGGCTGAGCCTGAGGGAAGAGTCAAACACATCATAAGTCTCGAGTCCCTTTGCACCCACAAGATACTTAAATCCAGCCCACCTTTAATTCCATTGACCCTTATCTACCACCAATCTATTTTGACTGTAAGTAGTTCAGATTCTTGTAGACAGCATTAGTATGCAATAAACCTGTATTAATTTGAACCGCCTTGACTCCTGATTTCCCATGCTTGGCAGAAGAATGGAAGGTCAAAGTGGGAAGCATGTCAAGCAGAAAACTAGAACAAGGAAAAAGGTGCCAATCCTTCCCCGACAGATAGCCCTTGACTTACGACCCTAATGGAGCTGCCTACCATGGTCATAAGCCCTGATGGTTGTAGAACAGGTCAATCAAGTGATTTCACCTGATTTTGCAAGCTTTTTTTTCGCAGCGGTCATTTCATTGAGCTTTGTACTTATTAAGTGAACCAACGTGGATGCAGTTTTCGGCAAATCGAAAAGTAAATGCCAGTTTTCGACAAAACTATCATATAATGTGGCCATATGACCAGTAGTGAGATCCTACCTTAGTCGCTACCGGTTTGGTGGGTGATCGCGCACGTGCGCATCCCTAAAACGCACATCCCTAACAAGCCAATCAGCTGAGAGGATGAAGAAACGAAAAGCTAGGAACGACCCTCCCATGCGCTTTTCAGTCTTTTATCCTCTCAGTTGATTGTCGGAAGCTTTTTTTCCCCTCCTGTCAGCTGATCAGAGCCTTTTTTTAAAAAAACTACCAGTTCGGCTGAATCAGTCGTGATTTTTACCACTGGTTCAGCTGAAGAGGGCTGAACCGGTAGCATACCACCACTGCACATGACCGTGGGATGCTGCAAAGGGTTGTAAATGTGCCCCAGTTCCCGTGCCCACCCGAAGTTCAGTCACATAACCAAGGGGGTAATCATTGGAACTTCAAATCTGAGTTGTTAGTAGGTCCAATCTAACTTCGAAAGGTCGCTAAGCAACCCATCGTAAGTCAAGGACCCCCGGTACTATTTTTCTGCTTGGAGGATTGCTTTTCTGGTTGCAGTTGTTAACCTAATCAAAGGGATACTTCCACCAAACCTGCTGCCAATTCTCCTGCACCAGCCACAAAGGAGAAGAAATATAGGAAGTGAGCAGTTACATCCTAATTCTCATTTTACTGTCTCATAATCCTCTAACACGTTCAGAATACTCAAAGTGCAGTATTTGATCAATTTGGGCCTGCAAAATAGCCCTGGGATACAGCCTCCAAGTGGAACCTAAGAGGCATACAGCATAAGGACAATTATTATTATTTTTTGCAGGTCTCAGAAACCTAGAAAGCACGTAGGGAAGGCGGTTTCCTGATGGCAAAGAATTTGCAAGGAACTAATATTTATAAAGTATTAACCTGAGGCCAAAAATAAAAAAAATGAAAAAATTGTGGCGCTCTTTCAATGTCTCTCTTTTTGGAATGATGAAGTTCACGACACCACAGGCAATAAAAACAGATGAAAAATGGAGGCTAAAAAAAAAAAAAAGAGGCATTTCATTATCCAAACTAGGTAACCAGCATACATTACCTAGTTTGGGTAAGGAAATGTCTGCAAGAAAACAACCAAGCTCACAAAGCACCAAGGATTCCTCCTGTCAACCCTGAGCTACAAATATTCTCCTTTATTGGTTTTTAAAATAAAAAAATTCTGAAGAATGGTTAAAGCGGGGAGGGGAACTTAAGCTACAATTGACAAGAACCTATGAGGAACGCCTTGCCTTAAGAGTATAGTTGTAGGGGGTTTCCTTGTTTTGAGGGCAGAGGCTGTGCTCTCTCCCCAGGGTCTAGAACAGCAATCCTTGGCTACCTTGTGGGGACATCCAAACAAGAAGCAACCCCCCAAATACTAGCTCTATCTTTATTGTAAGGTTACCTTAACAGAATCTTGCAAGACTGAAAGTACACCTCTCTCTCTCCACTCACCTTTACAGTCTAAGCAACTAGGGAGGGTCCCTTCTGAGGTGTCTGCCATGCCCCCGTTCCTTCTGAAGACTCAACTGCCTCTTATCTGAATGTGGTCTAGTCCAGGGATCTCCAACCTTGGCAACTGTAAGACTTGTGGACTTCAACTCCCAGAATTCCTAAGCCAGCAAGCTGGCGGAAGAATTCTGGGAGCTGAAGTTCACAAGTCTTAAAGTTGCCAAGGTTGGAGACCCCTGGTCTAGTCTGTGGCTCTTCCTCCTGTTTCCCAAGGCCATTTACAGCTGTCATTACATCCCCCCACCCTGAAAAAATCCACAGCTTCCATCACGCTGGCAATACCTTACGACCTTTCTAGCCATCGTTGTTAAGCGAATCCCTCCAGTTGTTCAGTGAATCAGCTTCACCATTGGCTTTCCTCACGAGGAGGTTGCAAAAGGAGATCACATGATCCCTGAACACTGCAACTGTCCTAAATATGAGCCAGTTGCCAAGCGTCTGGATTTTGATCACGTTACTGTGGGATTGCTGCAATGGTCACAAGTGTGAATAACGGTCCTAAGCCACCTTTTTTCAGTGCCGTTGTTAAATCCAAATGGACACTAAACAGATCTGTTGCAAGTGGGAGGACTACCCTGGCTATGACTGCAGAAGGTGCAGTCTGACAGGTGTGCAAGGATCTGAGGGATACTATTTTAGACATTTCTGAAATATTGCTCTGCACAGAAGCAGACTTAAATCTCTAGCATGGAGATCACACACACAGAGACACGCACACCCCTCTACACCTGTGCCCAAACCCTTTTGGCTTTCAAAGGATTTCTAAGAGGAGGGGCGGGCCAAGCACAGGGCTGAGTAGAAAGAACAATGGCCCAAATCGTTCAAGGTTTGCAGGAAAACCTTAAATGGTGTTGAAAGCAACCTGGAGTGTCTTTTGGTCACAGCGGCAAATGT